GGCATCCCTGAAAACCCAAAGATCAGAGGGAGCTAAGCTCACCATCCCCCAAGGGTAAGTCTGTGAACATCCAAAAGCTGAGCTTTTTCAACTGTTTTGGAACAATTTACTTTGAAGTTGGAGCATTACATTTTCTATATTGGTTCACTACAATTTCACCCTAAGACTATTTGCTGGAATCGACTGTCATGCGTTTCTATCTCCACCTCTAAAATCTCTCTCTCTTTCTTTCTCAATCCCCCATCCTCCCTTCCTCCCTCTCTCCCTTCTCTCTTTTTCTTTGAAGATCCAGGGAACTATTTTAAAAATAGGCTAGCATGAAATTGCTAACTTAAGAGGGTATTAAAGTTAATACCCTCTTAAGTGCATACCATTCCTGTTATTTTAACATTTCCCCTAAAAATGCAGTAGTTGCAAATGTTTGATGGGTCTCCGTTATACAATTTATGAACTTTCCCCCCCAAATTACATTTCAAAGCATCTCATATCAAGTTGATGCCCTCGCATCTCAAATCTGAAAATTAAATCATGCATATTCAAACCTCAGAATTGCAGTCTGAATTGAATCACAAAAGAAGCTGTTCTGTATATGCAGGGGAATTTAAATGCAGCTAGCCATTATTTGCTCCTTTAGATTCATCCTCTTATGATCTTTCTCCCATTTCCTTACAGAATCATTTCATGCAGTACTGTTTAGGGTGAGCTTTCTAAAATATTTGACAACTCACTTCCCATAGTGTAATCTTAAACTCTACATACCTCCATGAAAATCCAAACATTAAAATTAATGCACATGAACAATGAAAACAATACAATGAAAGTTTCAGAAAGTCTGATGTATTTATTATGACAATATAACTAAGAGGTTCTTCATATCTCTAGGTATCTTGCACTGGGCAATAAGAAGAAAAAAAATCTCGACAGATCGGTAGAAAGGTGGAAAGCAGCATCTGATTGTTGGCAGAGTAACTTAAGAAAGAAAATAGAAAATAGAATAGGGAATGATTGTCTGGAAAAGAAAAGCTGATGTGACATGAAATTGTTGAATGATGGAGTTAAGAGAAAAATGGAATTGGAACAACTTCATAGAACTGAAGCGTAGGAATGTATAAATTGGGGAAGAAAGGGTGGGGCAGAAGATGGGAAATTGAAATCGGAAAGGCAGTGGTGGCCAGGAAATTGAACCGATTCTTTTTACTCCAGGTAGTTAGCACATAAACATTTTAGAAATATATACTCTTCTGGCTTTTCACTTCTGCTTGTTGACTGCATGAATATTAATTGTGCATCACTTGTCAGTAACTGTTTTCTCTAGCTGCTACTGACTATGCTTAAATGGTGGAAGCAGTTTGTAGGAAAGGAATACCAACCCAACTCAGAAACTAAAAGCAGAAAGATTTGTCCCAGCTATTCTGCTCTGGCAATACTAAGTTAGCTTGCAGATAATATTTAAACATTATAAAATAAAGAAACCCCAGTTCAAGTTGCAACTAGCATTCACAATAATTACTTTTCTCCCACTAAAAATTCTATCCCCTGGTTAATATATTGAAAAATGTCTCTTTTTGTCTATGTGCAGTGTATTTATTGTATACAAGTACAAGGATGGGGAAAAAAGCCTACATTAACCATAAAGGTGATAATGGAAGGTCTTTATTGCATTAGTGGTAGATGACTTCTTCCATTGCATTTGTCTGTTACTGATGGGTGAACTTGAGATACTTCAGAGGGCATTGTGATAAGCACTCCAAAGGGTGGCTGATTAAATTTGCAGCTAAACCCCTTTACAATTTAATCCTGCAGTTTTCCACAAACTTTTTTTTCTCTGATTGAACAAAAACAGGGAAAGTACACTGGTTAAAAAAAAATCCAGAAACTAGCCTTCCAATATCAGAAAGCTCTCTACTTTTTAGTCATGTCCATATTTTTAAGCCCAAATAAGTGGTATGTCTGTCAGATGTCATTAAGTCAATCACTATTCTTTCTTTTATTAAGTCTCATACAATTCCAGACTATCTTTAACTTACATCATAGAATATCATAGAAATGGGTGTGTGTGTTTGTGTGTGTGTGTGTGTGTGTGTGTGTGTGTGATGAAAATAAAACTGGATTAACCATCACTGGGCATTGCATAAAAATTGCACTTAATGCCCAATGTCTTGTTGGAAACTTCTCACAGAAAGTATGGACCTATTTCCTTCACCTGAAAGACAAAAAAAAAGAAAGAAAGAAAGAAAGAAAGAAAGAAAGAAAGAAAGAAAGAAAGAGGGAGGGAGGAAGGAGGGAAGGAAGGAAGGAAGGAAGGAAGGAAGGAAGGAAGGAAGGAAGGAAGGAAGGAAGGAACACGCACAAACACAAATAAACACAGAGAAGCTTCACCAGTCAGAGCGACCTCAAGAGAAGCAAGCAACCTTCACATGTCTGCGGGACAATCTGGTACTGCGTTGTAGTATACTGCTCTCTTCTCTATGTAGGGGTGTTTCTGTTGGGTACATTTATAAGGTACAGTTGTGGACCAGCTATATACTTAAGAAAAAACAGTGAAAGAACAAAGATTTAAGCTGCAATTCTGTGTACCTTCAGACAAAGTTTTGAATTCAACAAGCCTTTTTTCCCCACTAGGAAGATAGGGAAAAGATCTTTTTGTAAAGTTGCAGCCATCTGCACATTTCTAAAAAAAAAAAATCTTGTCTGTAACTATATTATTCTTCATGGTTTTGAATCTATTTTTTTATTTAATACCTGCCTACTTACTTAAAAGGGCTTCTATGCCACTTGGGTTGATATACATATTAATTAAATAAAAATGTAATTTGGTTTTGGTATAGTATAAGGTTGCTAGATCTAAACTGCAAAATTCTACATTTGCTGATGTTAGATACCTGTATGTTAGATATCAGCAAAGGACAGTGGGTTTTTTATATTTTTATATTTCTCTGTTGTTATTGGATGGCCATCTCAATTGTTGTAGACCCTAGTATAGTCTGGACATTAATTTGTAAATACTAGATCATGTTCTATTGGCTGAGTGAGAATAGCAACCCAGTGTCTTCTGATTTATTCAAAATATCTGCCAAAACAGACTATGATTATCCATCAAGCTTCATGTACCTTCATATGTGTTGAACTATAACTCCCTGCATTTCTCTCATTTGATAATGAAGGGCTATTGGGAATTGAACTTCACCAATTTACAAATGAACAAACAAACGCTGTTTAGTTTTCCCAATTTCTTTTTTGTGATGGTGGCAACTTATCAAATGCAAAAAGTTAATTTTGTAAGTAATTACACTGACGGCACAATATTTGAACTACTGAAAACTGGAAGGAATTCAGAGGGAAGATAAACAATTTGAAGAAATAGCATATTGGCAAATGTAAAGCGAAAGTACCATATTGGATTCATCAGATACTTACAATCTGCATGCCTCCATCTCTTAGCTTTTCTCTCTCTCTCCATTCATGCTCAGTTATTATTATTATTTTATCATGGACATTATCTGAAAAGTCATCTGACATTTCACTTAAAGGATGCTAAATTGAGAATTCACCCGCAGAGCTAATAACTAAATTTTGTGAGTGAAATTTGATACCTGAAATGGAAAATGTTAATTTGTTCAACATGAATGGTTATATTACTAGGACAGATATTACATTTTCCAGTGCCTTTAGCCTTTTGTTGAACAATATGCATATCACAGCTCTAATGCCAGGCGATTGAGACATGTCTCCCTTTTTGGCCTTTACAAAAAGAAAAAAAGAATAATAATAATAATAATAATTCTGATTCATTTTTGAACAGAAATGTATTTTCCCAAATCTGTTCCATAAGAAATAAGCTGCCAAGGACAGACGTCAAAGAAAATATTTGCTACTACCAGCTTCACAACATTATGCAAACTTTTAGGATTCTTTTTTTATACTAATTACCTTACTTAAATATTTTATTAATTCGATCAGACAAAGTCATGAAAGAAAAGTCAATTAATAGCTTGGGGGTTGGGGGAGAAAGACAAAGAAAAACAGACAGAAAAACAGATAGGATGATGATTTCATCATACAAGTTTCATTTGTACTTCATTTTTTGGAATGCAAATATACAATGGCATTTCTGAAATGACATTATGTGCAACAATTGTCTTTCTGCCATCATTGTGGATTCATGCAAACATCTGTCTATTGCCTATGACAGCAGTTACCATGAGCAGAATAGTCTATCTCTTTTTCACAATCTAGCACCAACCAAGAAATTTCCAATGAAGGAGAATATTTGCAGGGTTGAAATGAGGGGTCCTTGGTGCTCTCTGAGCTTGCTTGTTTTCTTGCAGAGGTTTCATTACCCTAACTAGGTAACATAATCAGTGCTAGTCACTGACTGACTAGCACTGATGATGTTACCTAGTTAGGGTAATGAAAATGTCTGCAGGAGAACAAGCAAGCTCAGAGAGCACTAAAGACCCGTCAAGAAATTTCCTCCTTCCCTCCCTTCCTTGACCTTACATATGGATTAAAAGGAGTGACAGTGGGCCAGTTAAAATCACCATCATTCTAAAATAATAATAATAATAATAATTGTGTTCCATAGGTAATGTTGTAAAATTCAACCATGTAATGTTCTTGCTGGAGATGATGTTGATAAAAAAAAATACTCATTTCCACAGCTTAAATCTATACAATGATAAAATAGTAAATAGAAGCCAAAAGAGCAATTCTGCCCAAACTCTTCTATTAAATTATAATACTTGACTACACTAAAGATGCAACCCCATTGACGCAGGTCTAACATTAAAGACCCACTTTTTTGAATATAATTTCCCCAAGATAAGATTGGTCCCTATTTTACTGACTTTTGGTAAGTCCCTTAAAATCTGGTCACTGGGCTTAGAGATCCCACTGAAGTCGGAGAGAGCTAAATTGTTATATTGCTTGTAAGTATGGAATGTAATCTTCCATGGTTTTGGTTTCATTATAGTTTTAATTGCTTTTTAATGGTTCTGTTTTTTATTGTTTTGATTGCTTAGTTCTAACTGTGTGTGCTGCCTAAAGTCACATGTCACATGAAATGAGTGGCTATATAAATTTAATTAATTAATTAACAAATGACCAAAAATACACCCCGTAGTCATATAAAGAGTAATGTGTACCCACAATACCAGAGCAGCGATGTTCAGTAAATCAAATTGTGAATCCACTGAACTAATACACATAGTTTGTGATGGTTCAAAGAGACAGGGTATGAAAAGCTGCTTAGACAAAGAAATGCCCAAAGGGAATAAAATAAATTCCTTTTTTGCAATACATTTTCAGGCTGCTTTATTTGCAATAAAAGGTTGATTAATAAACTCAGTAACAAGATGCCTTCTGCAGTCCATGAAGATATAAGTAGGATCATTATCATACATTATTATTTTCATTATATACATCACAATGTGATATCATAGCTGTCCCTTCTTTAGCTGGTGTTGTCCTTCATTCATACTGAAGATTTCCAGAATATCATAATGTATTGGATTATTATATGTATGAGTCCAAGCAGTGTGGCCTTGTGTAACTGACAGATAGAAAGAGAAGGAAGCTATTATTATTATGGTTTCTACCTGCAGGTTTGACTTGAATATAGTTGGCAGCTTTATAAGTATACAGAATATCATAAAAGGTATTGTGTGTAGACCTTTTTATATCATGATTTTCTACTATGAATCTTCTATTTTATAACTTTATTATTCTGCATATTTCTAGTTCTTTTTGAAGTAAGGTTTTAATGTTTTTAAAATGTAACCTTTTATTTATATAATTACATATAGTTCTCTACCCCTTTTATTGATTGACATATTAAATATTACAGTTGCTATTCAGACAGACAATAACGCTAATTTAATAACTTACAGGTAGACATCACATACTGACCACAATTGGGACTGGCAACTCTGCAGGGATTTAGTACAACTTGGAGTGCTAAATGAAACACCAGCATAGCACAATTTATTTTTGCTTCATTTTCTTTCTATGGTAGGGACAAACATCTTGAACTGATTTCCAAGAGTTGCAAAATATTCTATATACACTCAAAAAAGTATACAGGTAGTCCTCCCTTACCAGCCGTTTAAAGTTACCATGGCATTGAAAAAGGGGATTTGCAGAATCTTTATGGTTGTGTGATTGCTATTCAGGCACTTGACAACGAGTGTACATTTAAGATGCTTGCAGTATCTCATGGTTACATGATTGGCATTTGTGACCTTCTCTGCTGGCTTCCCACAAACAAATTCAATGGGAAAATCAGCAGGAAGTTGCCTGCTGTTGGGGTGATCATGTGACAATGTGCTCAATGAACATTTGTGATTTGCTTAATGACTGTAGCCAGAACTATTGTTATTGTAATTCAGTATGGACATGTGACATTGTATTTTATGTCTGCAAAGTTTCCTGTCCCAATTGTCTTATTTGGAACTACCTGTAAATTATTAAGCTATCAAGCTAAGATAATCTGCAGTGTTATGTTTGATTGACAAACTGTACTGCAAAATTCAGAGAAGGGTATATTTGAAATTGGATAAGTGTACATTCATGTGAGAATTAAATAATTTCTCCCCCATCTCTACTTACCTAGTTTCTAGAACTGTCTTTAAAAAGAGATATCAGGAAACTCTGTTTTGCTTGCTGTTGAAATGTTTATTTTTCTACAGGCCTGTGAATGCTTTTCCATTTTAATGTACTTTCCATTTTTTTTTAAGATTGGTACTATTCATTTTCTTTTCTTTTATAGAATTATCTTGAGTAGCATTTCTGTAATAATTATTTTTAGGTGGATTGTTAAACTGATATACCCTAAAACGCTTCTATTGCTTAATCGAAATGTTGCAGGAATGGGTTGCTTCAGTAACTAATATTGATATTATTCCTTTGGGACATCATTTCATGTGAAACTAGCATTTCTTCATAAAGTGAATTTGTATAGTTGAACACTTTTAGGAAATCTGAATAGTTGCTGTAACTACATGGGAAAAATGGGTTGGAAACAGACCATGCAAAAACTCCGCATATTAAAGTCAGTTCCGCTGTTCTCCTGAAACAACAAGTTGACTTAACAAAATTATTGTATTGTGTACTGTATTTATACTAGTTATCTTGTAACTCTTATACCTTTTCAGCAACTACGGTAGCATATTGCAAAGATGTTATTTCACCAAACAGGCACTTTGTGACCAATTATATAAAGATTCAAGCTTTGGTGATGAGTAGAAATGTAACTTAAAGCAAAATACTGTTTATTGTGCCATTTTATTACTCATAGTAAAGAAATTCATATTGATTATATTTGGTTTTATTTGGGCTTTTCCTCTCTACTTCTTTCATTTGCTATGTGTAATTGATACTTGGTCCTAATGAGTAACAACAGTAGAATTGCTTTCTTAACTGTTCTCAACTGTTCAGTTGTGTATGGGATGATCTAACTAGTAAATTGTTGTTGTTGTTTAACTCAGTCTGAAAACTCTGAGGAACTACATACATGTTGCTTTGATTATTGAACCGCTGGCAGATGCCTTCTTATGGATCTTTGAAAATTTGTTATTAAATTGTACACTTTATTATTACAGAAAGTAAAAAAAAATAACTAAATATGCAAGGAGTAATCATGACAACTATACTTACTTATGACAAGATTAGTTTTGGGCCACATTATGTTTAGTAGTTTATTGTTTATTTATTGATTGATTAGTCTTGCAACCTTATCAATAAAATAAAATATAGTACATAGTCTAATTTCAGAAGAAGATATAAAGGAGGAATTAAGGAGGAATTAAAGTGATAAAATACAAGTGTGTTAATACACAGACAGTAATTAGGTAAATGAATCTCCCTTGCAGGGGAATCCAATTTGTTCAATGTATTGGGCTCATAGGATGACTGCCTTAGTTGTAAACTTAGTAGTTCTATGTACGGTATGTACATTTGAGCCCAGGAGGAAATATGACAATTTATGATTTGGATCCCAGGGCACTGTTATTTTCAAAAGGGATGATAAATATTTAAGCCTGATGGGAACATATCCATTTTAGGATAATGAGGTTTGCAGATTGTTGGTAGGATCAAAACCTTTTTTAAGTGAAGACTTGGCACGGAAGGCATGTTGTGAATACCATTTGCAATGAACTTACATTTGATGGGTCCCAGGAGACAGGTCTTCTCGGTCATGGGGCAAACCTGATGGAACATTCTTCTCTCCCACCCAACTTCCACTCAGGTTAACTCAATCCCTATCAATGTTCTGAAAGTCCCTCAAGGTCTGGTTACGTTATTAGATTTGGGAGTCCCAGGGAAACAGTGATATTCTAAGATGGCTCCCCTATTGTGGTTTTTATTCTCACTCTCTCTGTGCTTTGTGGTTTCTGTATTTTAATTTTTAATAATATTTTAATTTTTAATAAAGACTGTTTATATTTTTTACAATTATTGTTTTTATATTGTTGCTTGACTTGACTATTGCAGGCTGCCCAGAATCATTTCTTGTGAGATGAATGGTGATATAAATTTGATGAGTAAATAAATAAATATTTGGCAGATTTTTGTTAACATACATTATGTTGCTTTATGCATGGTAAACAACTGGCTGCATGAGCAAGTTAAATACTGAATACTTCTACAGCTTATAAAAGTCTCTTGTATGCTTTATTAAATTAGCAATGAGAATTGCACAACTGCTGTGTGGATCTTATTAAAATCAGGATCACTCTTAGAAGGTTAATCTATATATCTCAAGATATAGCAATAACCATTAAGATATTTTAATAGTAATAAAAGAGAATGTCAGCTTAATTTACAGTGCTAATGGGTTTTGCATATATGGTGTGTCTGCTTTACTATTATAATAAAAGAGAAAATACTGTTGACTAAAAATAGCAGGATTTCATAGACACTATGAAAGCAATAAAAAAAGTTCCAAGGAAAAATAGAATATGTACAACCACGCTAAGTTTGTTTTAATAAAAACTATATATATATATATATATATTCTAAAGTATTATAAGCATAATTATAATTAATTGCAGTCATTAGAAACTCATGTTATTTTATGGTCATTACCTGCAAGAATTATCTATATTAAAATATTATTTTATAATGAGTCCTGAACATGTGCTATAAAACCATACAAAAGTTTTAAAAATCCTGTTCTGCTTCCTGCTAAGTTATTTCCTATCGTCTCTTAAAGAAGGCATTGTTATACCAGTTCTTGTCACATTATTATTCTTATGGCCTTGGGTTTAGAACTTGCAGTCTGGCAGAACTTAAAATATTAATGTGTGATAAACGTAATCCACAAATCACTTATATACATCCCAATAAACGCTTGCATTGTAAATTGCATGGCAGCGTGTAATGTTTGCAGTCCTAGGGACAGGAAGGAAAATGATGTTTTGCATTTTAGCGGTGTCTAAATCACTCTACCTTGTTTTCCGTTGTACAATAATGGGGTTATTTTTATCATAGATTTAGAAGCATGGCGTTTTCAGCCTGCAGAAAGGTCACAGAGTGCTCAAAATACATCACTACAGTACAAGAGGTAAACTTAAGTGGCAACTTCTTAAATAAAAATCCAATTCTAAATTTGGTAGATGAGGAAAAAAATGAGGGCAAAATGGGAAGCTAATATATTCTCATCCACCACCACCACCCCTTTTTTTTACTGCAGCTGTGACTATAAATTTGTATTTGGTGGTTAACTTGTTGGCCTAGGTACCAGGAAACCATGAGTTTTAATCTTGCCTTTGGGATGAAAAATCAGCTGAGTGGGTTTTTTGGGCCAGTCACTGTTTCTCAGTTCAACCCATCTCACACGGTTATTGTTGTGGGGAAAATGGGAGGAGGAAGGAGACTTAGGTATGAGGGTAAAGATTCATTCTCCAAGCTTGTGGTTTTGTTTCCAAATGTTTCTTTACCAGGCTAGGTAACCAACCCACAAACTCTGAGAACAAACCTTCACCCTCATCCTACATCTGAGCTACAGACATTCACCACTATTGCAGTACTAGGTATGTTTGTTGCCTTGAGTTATTTATAAATAATAATAAAAGTTAGATAAAAGTCAAATAAATAAAAATATAAATCAATTAGCTGGTATTGTTTCTACATTATACGTTTGAGAGAACCTTTGTCCACATTTATGCTCCACTCTGAGAAATCAAATCCTCCTCTCCATTTTCCCATTGAGAAATGTCCCTTGCTTCCACCATTCTTCATGAAGTACTTTAAAAGAAAGAAAGAAATTGCCATCTTGGTTAAAGCAGCGACATTTCAGTAAAACAGCAGTGAAAGATTGATACCTAGGATTTCAGTCTAATTTGGATTATTGCATTGTTCAGGTCTCCAAGGTTTCTAACAATACTTTAGCATCCATTCAGACTCTTCACTGTAGCTGCCAGCCTTATTGTCCTGAAAATATTTCTTCTGAATGCTTCCAGATAACACTTAGGCCACTAGCTTTTCAGTCTCCCAGTTAAGAGAATGACATGTATCATTTCAATATCTTACTGTCCCTTTCCTAATCTAATACCCATATAAGAGCTATCCTTATAAGGTAGACCCACCTGATAGCAGTAGTGTCTCATTTTCCATTGCATCTATGAATGTATTCCAGAGGTGAAAGATTGGCAGTGCTGACCCTGGTTTGCCACTGCTTTTCTCTTGATAGTTCAAATTATCCCCCTTTTTAATTAACCTGTCTGAAATAGTGTCAATATCCCACCAGGTATGTGTTTACAGTTGAGACACAAAACTCTGATCGATTCTTCTGCTTGTATCCACAAAGCTTTTATATTAGCCTTGCCTTTGTGATTAGCGCATAGATGTCAATCCTACTCTTGGGCATGCAATCAACTTGACTGATGAGAATAAAACTTCTTTCTGCATATAAATGGTTGACTAAAGGCACTGTGATCTTAATAGGAGTCTCCTGCCTAAGATAATACCTTGCAAAGCAATCTGTTATATCTAGCTTGGTGGGTTTATACCAAGATTGAAAGAAATCCATTGACACTATTAAGATGAGGTTCTGTCAGAAGCTTAGGAATCACTGAGAGATGCTCTTGATTCATGTTTCTGTATGCCCAATCCGAATGAACATTTTGAGCAAAACTCATTCCATAAACTGACAAATGAAACTAATGCATCTTATTGCCTGTCTCAGTTGATACCCAAGGTTTTATTTATTATTATTTTTCTCTTATTACCCTCAGACCTAGGAAATTTGTCACATTTCATTTCTTATAATAGTTGGCACCACACATTTCTCTCTCTTAAACAATACACGTTGAGTTTCTTTGTCATTCCTCCTCATCAATAGACCATCCCTTTAAAAAAAAAAGTATTATTCATTACTAAATTTATATCCCATCTTTCTTCTTTATCAGTACTCAACATTGCTTAAAAATAACTCCTGGGAGTTTACTCTCCTTTATTTCCCGTTCTAATCTTATTTGAGTCATAGTTATGCTAAATGTCCTTTAAGGTAAAGTATTCAGTCAATATGGTTAAATTCCAATCATATGTCGATTCCCCAGGCACAGAATTTTCAGATTTTGGGAGCCTCCAATTCTGAGACAAGGAGGACTATGCCGGAGAAATAGAAATGTGATTTAGCAGAAACAGCCCCACAGAGTGTGCCAACTGCCTCAAGTGCAATATGTTGGTGGGATGGGAGGGCTGGGAAGAAACAGTTATATAAGGACCTCATGGTCCATCTTGAATGTCCTAAGCTAATTTGATGCTTTCAGGTACAAGGAGAGAATGATGCTTTCTGAATAGGGAGAGTAGCATATTGCCTTTAATGTCTGGAATAAAAACAGAATTGCATTATCCTTGAGATTTAGAAATCTGGATAGACAAATTCTGGTGGATAGCTCATGAGTGGAGCTTGGTAAGAATTGACAATAAACTAACAGCAGTATTAAGTATTGATAGCTGCTTGAAGTCAATTCAGTTTAGTCAAGTCAATTCAACTCAGTCAACTTAAACCAATTCAGTTCAGTTTAATAACTGGATGAGATGAATTGTTTAAAAACTCTTCGGAAACTTCTAAGAAGGTTGCAAAATTCCTATTAATAGCTATATTTGTTAGAAACCTTCTGATTCCCTCTCCATGCTAATAACTGCTAGTTGCTAAATATTTGGGATTTCCTGACATTTTTTTAAAAAAATCCCTTTATAGTTATTGCATTGTATGCTGGTCTTTTATTGTGTTTGATCTTAGATCACAAATAAAATTTTGATTGAGAATCAGTTAAAGCAGAAAATAGTCTGCCTTCTTTTAACCCCATCCAATCTCTGGTATTTTCTCTGGAAAGCTTGAAAAGTTTGCTTTGATCCTGGCAGATTAAATTGAAGAGATCTGGCAAATCTAAGCTGTATGCATTATACTAATAAATGCTTGAATCACATTAGTGTTGTATTTCTGTTCAAGTATTTGAACATACCTTTAGGAGGAAAGTTTTATGCTCAGAGATTCATACTGTAGAAGAAAACAAAATTAAAGAATGATAAGCATAGTGCAAAGGAATAGGGAAATAAATTAGGCTGAGATAAAAGAATGTTTGAAATTGTTAACTCATAATGGTAAAATAAAGGAGCCATTTTCTTGCAAATTTGATGCAACATGTCATATGTCATTCCTGTGTCTTCTTTACATTTTCTATTTCCTTTCTTTGGTTTTTACATCCATCAAAATTCCACCAAATAATAAGATGTTCAGAGAACTACTCTTTGGGTTTTTAAAAAGGTAAAAGAAGCAAAAATGGGAAAAATTGGACTTAAGTTTGACAAATACTACAGTATGGTTTATCTGCAAATTATACTTTTAAAACAAACAAACAAACCAAAACAAAACATCAGTACATTTAATTCTCACATAATATGACACAGACTTCAGGAAAATATATATATATATAACATAATAATGTGTCTCAAATTGTAGAACCAACTATCAGCAGAAAGTTTCATTCTTTCTCCCAAGCAGCAAAACACAGTAATTTCTGTTTGATCTAATATATCCTTTCTAACTTGTCGGAACAAAGGATATACAATAATCTACAGTGGTCTCTACAGTCAGGTAAACCAACACACTTTATTTGGGAGACTAATTTGGCTAGCATGCTGAAGTGAAGTTTGCTATATATTGAGCTCATATAATGGCAATGCTGTAGATTGTTTTTAGACCCCAGCTGTGGATTATGTTAATTTAATTTTATTGCTTTGTATATTTTTTTATCAAATATGGTTTGATTGTTTTTTGTAGTTTTATTGTTTTAACATTGTCGTATGCTACCCAGAGCCTTGCAGTTGAGATGGGCAACGATGTAATTTGAACAAACATATATATTTGATCATACAAATGCCACATATTTGTAATAGAAGGTTAGTGCAACATTTCACGGATCCTTTCCCTCTCATTCATGCCCAGTTCTTAATTTTTGCTTTGAAAACTCAGTTTCCCAAAGATTGACCTTCTAAACCTGAATTCAAAAGTACCTAGGTGTAATTGTTAAGTTATATTAATCCAAAAGATTAATTATCTGTAATCCTCCCCTCTATTCAAGACAAAGGTGCATCTCGTTTAATAGAGTGCAGAAATGGATCCCATGTATCTTTTCCAAATTGGATGCTTTGATGCACAGATACATGAGGATTTGTGGGCGAGTGGGGAGGGGTTGGGTGGCTGGGCATGGAAAAATGTATGAACAGTAATGAAGAAAAAAACAATAGGATCCTAAGAACCAGGCTTCACTGTGAGATAACATACAGTACCTAGGGAATGGAACAGTGTATTAAGAGAATCATGAAAACGTTCTTGAAAATTGCAAGATGCAATTGTTGTTCCCTTTTACTTCCTCTCTGTCTGTAACTAGTCTGATTGTTCACAAGCCTCTTTATGGCTCAAGAATGGGTGAGTAGGGTGGACCAGAGAGGACCCAAGGGTGGCTTATGCAAGGCCTTTGCTAAATCTCTGGCAATTACTTGAGCCTCTTTATGTTTTTTTTTATAAATAACTTAATGCAATTTAACAGATTATTTTAAACAAAGGTAATGATTTTTAGATAATTCTTGATCGTAATTGTAATGTATTGAGTTAAAATTATGAAACAGGTTGTTGGAATCTGTATAGGAACGGTTAGCTGACCATATGGTTTGCCAGCCAGACTTTCGGTCTACAGACTAGTTAGTATGCATTTAAGCGGGAGAACACTGTAATCTGATTGTTTGCCACCTCCTGAGCTGAGTGTATAAAAAGGGGTGGAGCATGTGCTTTTCAGTTTCGGTTTTGCCTCCTTTGCATGAAACTTAATTTGTCTCCCCTCTTAATCTGATTGAAATTTACTTCCAAGGTTAGCAATATTATTTCTCTCTAGCACATACCTTTGACTGAGTGAAAGCAAACATACTGCCTTTCCATGCTGTTTTTTTTTAAAATCATTTAAACCAATGTTTCTCAAACTTGATGTTTTTGGGTCCCCTTAGATTCTTAAAAATTGTAGAAGATGGCAAAGACCTTTTATTTATGTGGATGGTATTTATCAATATTTACTGTATTAGAAATTAAAATTGAGAATTTTTAAAAATATTTGTTTATTTAACTTGGTGAATCCCATGAAAGGATCTCAGAGATTCCTAAGGATTTCCAGACCACTCTTTGAGAACCACAGCTCTAAACCAATTGTAAGAAAAGAGATTCTATTAATCAACTCCCATCAGGAAGGGTGCAGTTGCATCCAAAAGCAGCTAAAAGACCATAGGTTCTCTGTCCCTAATTTAATCCTCCTTTATTCTGGATATGGAGGTAGTCCTCACTTAGTGACAATTGGGACCAGCAACCAGTTCATAAGCCTAGCAGTCACTAAGCAAAACTGCAACTGTGCTCTGACCTCAGTTTTGCTTTGCTCTGCACACCTGCAAAGGCTGCAAGTGCAAGGACAGTTGCAAAGTTATGTTTTATCATCACTGTCAGAGTGAATGGTTGCTGTATGAGGCAGTCACGAAATAAGGACTACCTGTAAAGGATACTATGTTTGATTGTGGTATACAAATGAAATGAATTATACTAGTGTAAAAATAGAATTTATGCTAGTGTGAATCTCAATGCAATATGTGGCCTTAAAATGAATACTGTCATGTCACAGAAAATTACAGCACAAAATAACAATAATATAGAAGCTGTCTTCCCCTAGAGAGCTCAAGCATTTAGCAATAGCACTTAGACTTATATACTGCTTCACAGTGCTTTATAACTCTCACTAAGTGGTTTACTGAGTCAGCATATATTGCCCCCAACAATCTGGGTCCTCATTTTATCAACCTTGAAAGGATTGAAAACTGAGTCAACCTTTAGCTCAGTGGTTCTCAACCTGTGGGTCGGGACCCCATTTGGGGTCGAACGACCATTTCATGGGGGTCACCAAACAACGCAGTCCACCATTTTTTCCCCCTTTTCTTTAGCTGTGCTACTCCCTTTTATTCTATTGGCTTTTGAAAGACAATAGAACAGACTCTCTTGAATAGAGTCTAATTCTATTGGCTTTCAAAAGCCAATAGGAATTGTCCAGGCTGTCTCTGCCCTGCTGAGCCCGCCAAAAGTCCCATTCTGCAAACAGTGGTGCACCAGTTGAGTAGTCCTCGACTTACGACCGGTTGAGTAGTCCTCGACTTACAACCGGTTGGGGGGTCACGGCATTAAAAAGGTTGAGAACCACTGCTTTAGCTGGTGAGAATCGAACTGCTGGCAGTTGGCAAAATTAGCCTGCAATAGTGCATTCTAACCATTTTGCCACCACGACTCTTATCAAGCATATATAATATCTGGCCTCACTGTGGGGTGAGAGAAACAGATATTGTTATGACCCAGGTGGTCAAGGCAAGGCAGGCCATGACAGATATACTGACCCAGAGCCATTCAACAAGTTATAGCACCCTCTGTAACAAACTAACTCTTTGTTTTTACCACCAAGAAGGAAACTTTGGGATTAAAAATAAAGCAATATGAGGAAAAAAACTCAAACCGAATATGCATATTTGTGCATCCCTTTTAGCATTCTTGTCCATTTTCCATCATATGACATTCCTGCTTCTTTCCTTGGCATTCCTCCAAGCACTGATTAAAAAACAACAACAACAACAACAACAACAAAAAACTCCCTTGAAAGTTTAAAATCATACTGGGATTACATAATTCACTGTGCCATATGTTCTAATACCCATCTTTTTCAGCTTTAAATGACTTTCAGTGTTGACACAGTGGGGGTGAGATTATCGTGGGAGGGAGTCGGGGAGGGTTTCCATTATTATTTTGAAATATGCTTCTGAGAAATAGTTGACTCTAATAAATACAGGATGTTTCTCAGTCAGCCATAGGAAATCAAGGTTGATATCTATACCTCTGTAGGTCTCAGCTTGCCAAATTTAAGTGACATGAGGTTCTTTCTGCTTTTCAGCTATAAAATACAGCAGAAATGTAAAATGGAAAGAGGGACTGCTATAGTTTCCACCATCTGCTATTTGATTTCCTCTTGTTTCTTTTCTGAACTTCCCATATTTTTCCAAACTCTTATTCATCATGGAAATAAATTTTGAAGCATATCCAAAAATTAAATTGTTATGGGGTGGTGGGAACACAGAGTGATTTCCCCCAGCATATCACATAGAAAAAAATAAACCTTATTCAAGGCCATGCATTTGAATGCTAGCAGTCATTTCTAGTTTCCCCATGTTCTCCTGATTGCACACTCTTTAATGTACAAAAACCAATGGAGAAAAAAAATTAAATTGACATAGCAAGAATAATATGGAAGAAATTGCCTAAATGAACATTGGGCCTTCAAACTCTTAAGAAGAACTTGATTGTAGCCCTTGTGTAGATTCAGCCTTAGCACAGAAATGAGCAACTATTGACTGTTTGATGAAATGCAAAATAATTACAGCATCACACTTCCGAATGAAAGCAAAAAACAAAACAAAAACAAACTATTGTTGTTGTAAATATGTTCAAAAACATCCTCTAATTAACACACAAAGATATAACTATGGATTATGGTATTAAGCTCATTTAATCTTTAAGTTTATCACTAAATCTAGATCACTTAGAAACATATTGCATTATCTGGCCATTTTTAAAATACATACAAACACATATTCTGAACCCAATCTTTAAAATCAGGAGAGTATTTTTTTTCTAACTATATTCAATTATTTTGTTTGTTTGGCTTAATAGAGCTAAAGTTCTTCATGAGAAGACAAACTCTAATTTTACATGTTTTCCCTAAAATTGTACTGGCATATGTAGTGATTGGAAACCAAAACAAAGCTGTACAAGACCAGAGTATATGAGCTAAAGAACTTTCAAGTTTCTTGCAATGCCAACATACAAAATCTGAAATTCATTCTTTTTTAAAACTTTCTTGAGGGGTCCAATAAACATAAAATGACATTCTTTGATGAATTTATTTCATTTTTTAAATTATAATTAGTATATTTTACATTTCTTAATTGCTGAAATTGTTGCTTCTCAACCTATCATTATTTTAAATCTTCATTCTGCAAATTAGATATATAACTAATACTAACTTCCATTTTATTATTTAATTCTTTATCAAATTGAATTGTTCGTTTCCATTCAGGGTTTACTTCTCTTGGGGAAAAGAAATGAGTAATCAGAAGGACTATATAAATCAGGGGTGTCAAACTGCAGGTCGACAGGCCAGATGCGTCACACAGAAGCTTTGCCCACCCCAGCTCTGGTAAGGGGAAAAAAGTCACGATATGTCGTGACACGTCACGTGATGTGGTAAGTTTGACACCCCTGATATAAATCTCTTGAGGCATTTTATTTTGCAAGATCAGAGCCTCTTCTGACCCTAGCTCTTAAAAATTGGAAGCAATATTTCTCACTATTTGGGGGGCAGGAAATATAACGACCATATAAATTAATTGAGGAGAGAGGGAAAGGGGAGACGTTTCCTTCCATAACAGAAGAATAAAACAGGGAGCTTCATTTGTTCCATATATCATGTATGGATGGTCATACAGATGTTCATTTGGATTTTTTCAGCCCTGAGCTCAAAGACTTAACATAGAACAAAGTCTGACACAAGCAGAGAAGGTGTGCGAAATAATTTTATAATTATAAAATTAATGCTAGGTCTCTAGAAATGCAAAGTAACTCACACTAATCTTTTGTGGATATGTAACAAATTCCAGCAGAAGACCAAAGCTATTTTTCTTTTGAGTCAAACAAGGATTAATCTAAAACAAAGACTACTTCATCTTTCAGTTGATTCCTTTCATCTAGTTTTTGGATGTTTGTCAAGATCTAGTTTAGTGTTAATGTCAAAACTTATCCAACATTTTTTGGAGTGATCATTATATAGAAAAAAATAACAAAGACACTGCTTAACTACTATTCATTCATTTTCAACTGAAACAAATGCATTAACCTGGCACTTTTGTTCAGATTAAATTAACAACAACATCCAAAAACCTTGACTGGCAATACAAATCTCTGTGGCTTATACTGAGAATTTGGCATAAATCTTCACAAGCAATTAGTCTAATCCATACCATTAAAACAAAGAGAGAGAGAGAGAGAGAGAGAGAGAGAGAGAGTAAGTGTTTGGTAATTAAGGTACTGGTGTAGAAATTAGAAGTTCTAGTCCCATCTTAGATATGAAAGCCAGCTGGTGACTTTGATCTAGTAACTTTCTTTCAGATCAACCTACCTTACAGAGTTGTTGTGGGAAAAAAGGAGGAAGAAGGAATATTATGCATGTTTGTTATCTAGAGTTACTTATAAAGAAATAAAAAATCTAATAAATAAGAAATAAAATTATCTAATAAATAAGAAATAAAATTAAATGACTGTTGGGCTTTCAAATTCTGTGAGATTATTGGCTTTCTTGGCTAATGTGTGTTTTATTATACACCTCCTTTGTTACTTTCACCTTCTTCTCAACAACCCAATGTAAATTTAGATGGTGGCATAGGGTAGGGTTAATTAGTTAGGATGGGGAGTTTCATTACTAGCACCATACAGTGCTGTTATCTGTAAAACTATGTCTGTTTGAGTGTGTAAATGTATTTGTTTGAACACTTCAGAATAAAGCAAATGAAGCCTAGCTATACTTAGTCCACAAAATATTGGTGGTGTCATGGAAAAACCCAATGAAAATGACAAGAGACAGCAACACAAAGAATAATTCTTACTTTGAGATTCAGAGGTTTATTCTGCTAATCATTTAAAACATAGCAAGCATAATAACACAACATCACTTACATTAATAACCCATTGCAATGAGGTCCACTGACACAGCACTCCGAAGGATAGCTATAGGCCAATGGCCCGGAGCTAGTCTTGAGCTATCATTTTGATACTTTTATTCTAATGACCACCCACAGATAATCATTATCTTGCAAAATCTGTTCCTTGTTCTTTCGTGCTGACCAGCAATTTCCACATACACCCGTGTACATCTGAAACCTTCATCCATCTGTTACTTTCAGTTCCTCTTTTCCCACGGTTACAATGCTCATGTTCTAAATATATATGTAAAACTATCTACTTTGCAATTTCATATTGCACATATTGCAACAGCTTAGCAAATTACAAATAATTCCTCTATATAGTGAAACAGTTTGAGTTAAAGCTTTGTTTTAAATCATTACTGTGGGGCCTATCTTATCTTGTTCCAAGCCTTATCTTACTCTATGACAGTGGTTCTCAACCTGTGGGTCAGGACCCCATTTGGGGTCGATGACCATTTCACGGGGGTCGCCAAACAACGCAGTCCATCATTTTTTTCCCCCTTTTCCTTAGCTGTGCTACTCCCTTTTATTCTATTGGCTTTTGAAAGACAATAGAATAGACTCTCTTGAATAGAGTCTAATTCTATTGGCTTTCAAAAGCCAATAGGAATTGTCTAGGCTGTCTCTGCCCTGCTGAGCCTGCCAAAAGTCCCATTCTGCAAACAGTGCTGCACCAGTTGAATAGTCCTCGACTTACAACCGGTTGAGTAGTCCTTGACTTACGACCGGTTGGGGGTCGTGGCATTATGAGTAGGGGGCTATATTTTCATCTTCCACAGTGGTATACAATTAAAAATGGAGCATACCTTGCACAATGTGAAAAGGGGCGTTGTCTTACCTGAACGCCTTTTCTCAGCATGATGATGGAGAATCCACAGATGGGTTGTCTTAATCTATCTGCTCCAATTAGACTAAGTCTGAAATTTAGTACCGCCCCCTCTGTGCCAACTGTACCCCAGTTTTAGGCTAAGGTGAAACTGAGACTTTAGTCCGACGTGTCTGATCAATATGGGAACCAGGCCAACTGACCTAATGGGAGGGAATGGATTCTCCATCATCATGCTGAGAAAAGGCATTCAGGTAAGACAACGCCCCTTTCTCCAGCATGATTGGATGGAGAACCCACGGAGGGGACATACCAAAGCCCTGTGTCCCTAGGGTGGGGAATTAGATTGGGCCTGGGTCCCATCCAACGTTAATGTGTGTTCTAGAACTTTGCGGTCAAATGAAGCCGTAGAAGAGACATATATATATCCATCTTGTAGTGACGGACAAGGGAAGAGGGCGATGCCCATGTTGTTGTTCTACAAATTCCCTCTATGGAGTCCTGATTAGACCAGGCAGCTGTAGCAGCTGTGCCCGGGTGGAATGGGCCGTGAAATGCCTAGGAGCTTGCAGTGACTGAGACTGGTATGCCAGAGAAATACAAACTCTAATCCACCTGCGTATTGTGGTTGAAGAAACCTTCTGACCTAGTGATGAAGGGTGATAGGACACAAACAGAGCCTCTGTTCTGTGGAAAGATGAGGTTCTCTGTATATAACAATATAAGCCCTGCGCACATCCGATTTGTTCCACTGAACCTCTATGTCATTAGATGGGTTAGGACAGAAGTCCGGCAAAACTATTTCCTGAGATCTATGATACAAGGACTTGACCTTAGGCACAAAGGAGGGGCCTAGCCTAAGGGTTACCCTGTCCTTATGGAAAGTACACAGGTCCTTCCTCACTGAAGAGCAGCCAGTTCAGAGATCCTTCTGGCTGAAGTTACAGCAACAAGAAATGCCACCTTCATCGATAACTGTTTGAACAAACCAGTGTCAATAGTTCAAAGGGTGCGAAACAAGAGCCTATAAACTTGATGAAGATCCCACGAGGGATATCTATGTACAGTTGATGGTCTGACGTTGTTAGCTCCTTTTAGGAAGGAGCGTATCATAGGGTAATGTGTTAAGGATTCATTGCCGCAGGAAATAACTGTGGCAAGTGATGCTACCTGCCTGCGGATGGTGCTTGTGGAAAGCCCTTTGTCTAGACCATCCCTCAGGAACTCCAAGATAACTGACATTGAAACCGCCAAAAGGTCAATTTTTCGAACTGAACACCAATTACAGGAGCCTCTCCATGTGGCATCGTATATTCTATTCGTCGAGGGTCGCCTGGATTGCTGAATCATAGCTATGACCCTTGACGAATATGAGTCTCAGCCTAAGGCCTGCCTCTCAAGTGCCAGACGGTTAACTGGAGCCATTGAGGGTCTGTATGGCATAGTTCCCCCTGAATGTGGGAGATGCGATTTGCTGGGATCCTCCATGGAGGGGATGCGGAGAGCTCCATCAGGTCAGTGACCAAGAGCGTCTCGGCTAATGCGGTGCAACCAGGAGGACCTCTGCTCATTCGCGAAGGATCTTCCTGATCGTGGCAGGAAGAAGCGGCAGGGGAGGGAAGGCATAGAGCAGTTCCCTGGGCCAGGGACTGCAGAGTGCATCTGTTCCCTCCACTGATGGAGATGGGAACTTGAAAAGGAACCTGGGAAGTTGTGAGTTGATTGGGGAGGCAAAAAGGTCTAAGGTTGGGGAACCAAACCTGTCCACGATCTCTCTGAACACCTTCGGGATCCAGCTGCCATTTGGAATGGTCCACAGTTGCTCTGCTCAGTGAGTCCGCCTGCTGGTTGGTCACTCTGGATATGTGCTCCGCCCTGATGGAGGCAAGATTCAGTTCCGCCCAGGACCCCAGCAATTTGGCCTCCTGCATGAGAGGCCTGGACCTTGTCTCTCCTTGTCTGTTGACGTGGGCCTTGGCTGTAATGTTGTCGGTTAAAATCAGGACATGTTGGCCCTGTACTATATCGGTGAATCTCTTTAGGGCCATATGTATGGCTCTGAGTTCCGGCCAGTTTATATTGTTCTTTAGGTCCTGTTTGGACCACCGACCTTGAGCCCAGTGCGTGTGGAGGTGTGCCCCCCCACCCAAACAGGCTTGCATCTGTGGTAATGGTAATCCTATCTGGTTCTAATACTGCTCCCCGTGACAGCGCCAGGGAGTCCCACCATTGAAGGGAGTTCAAGTCTCTGAAATAGAAGGAGAAGCCATGTAATTCTCTGGCATGGAGGCGTGCCCATGGCACAATTTGCACGCAGGACACCGTCTTCCCCAGTAGCTGTGATAGGGAGGTCAATGTGACTACTCTGTCCCTTCAGATCCGACGTACAAGAGTCTGAATAGAGTTCCTTCGGTCCTGAGATAGGTAGACCGTACAATTGTCCATGTCTATAACAGCGCCCAAATGGAGGAGCCGGGTTGTTGTATGACTTTTCTGGAAATTAACAGAAAACCCGTGCTCCTGGAAGACCTTGATGGCTAGGGCGAGGTCTGACTAAGCGTTTCGGAATGATGATGACTGAATTAGTATGTCATCTAAATAGCATTGAATTCTGATTGGAATTTGTCTAAGGTGGGCTGCGAGCACTGCCAGTACCTTGTAAATACCCTCGGTGTCGATGAGAGGCCAAATGGTAGGGCTCTGTACTGGTAGTGGCGTTGGGCATAGCTGAATCTGAGGAATTTGCAGTGGTTAGGAAAAATGTCTGTTAGGTCTATTGAGGTAAGAAAGTCACCTTGCCTGATGCTGGCCAGGATTGATTGAAGTGGTTGCATCTTAAACTTCTTATACCTCAAGTAACGTTTAGACCTTTCAAGTCTAAGATTGCCCTCCAGCCCCCCAAGTCTTAAGGATGACGAAGAAGTTTGAGTAAAACCCTCGTCCTTCTTGGTCTTGTGTACTGGTTCAATTGCTCGTATTTGTAATAAATGAGCTATGGCCTCTGACATAAAGTCAGCCCTGGACCTGCTCATTGGGATAGGGCAAGAGCGGAATTTGTCAGGTGGTTGAGAACAAAATTCTAATCTCAGACCTTGCTTGACGGTGTCTAACACTCATGCATCTGTAGTGATGGCTGTCCAAGTGCTGGAATAAGGGGCCAGCCGGCATCTGTAGTGGTGACTGCCCAAGTGCTGGAATAAGGGGCCAGCTGGCTTCCTATGGGAAGTGAGACTGTGAGATCAGTTGCCTCGTTTAGAGGAACGGCCCCTCGGCCTTGAAGGGGCCGCTTGGCCTGGATCTGTGGTCTGCTTCTGCATGCTGAACGATCCTGCTGTCGTTCTTGTCTCTGAAAGGAATAGAGGGATGCCTGGGCCCAGTCCCAGGATGGAGCTGGTCGAAAGGCAGCCTCCTGTAACTGCTCTGTGACATGAGTTAACCAGAGTTTTACGTTTGTCCTTACCTTCAGTTAAGTATGGTTCTAGTGCCTTACCAAAGAGATGTCCACCTGTGTAAGGTTTAGAGGCCAGACACCACTTGGTCTTGGTGTCTGCTCGCCAATTCCTGGGCCAAAGGAGCCTTCGTGCTGAGATGTCTGCAGCGATGGTCTGGCAGTGTATCTAGCCATGTGCAGAGAAGCGTCGGCTAGGTACTGGGATGTAGCCACTAACTTACCCAGATTTTGGTGAACTCTGAGCTGGTCCGGAGGGATCCTGTCCTGGAGCTCACGTAACCCAAGGGCTGAAGCCCTGGCAAAGAAGGCCATGGACGTTGCCGCCTTTGTTGCCCAGGCTGATGCCAGATGGGAACTACGCAATGCGGAGTCAATCTTTTTATCCTCCGCTCTAAGTGCCTCATTTATACCCCCAGGAATGTTAGCATTGGGAAACAATGAGTTCAATGGCTCATCAATCTCAGGGACCTCCAATAGGGAGGTCAGAGAAGGGGCAACATTGAATAATGTCTTCTCTACGGCACCAGGGCTTGAGAGGGATCCTAACTTCTCCCATTGCTTTTGAACCCTATTGAGAAAAGGGGGCAGGGGATATGGTTCTGAGAGACTGAGGGCTCGTATATATAACATGGGGACCCTTGGATGTTGTAGGTGGGCCTCCTGCTCTTGAGGGAGGTTTGCAGTTGTGCAGGCCTTGATTAGCAGAGAAATAAAAGTGAATGGTCAAAGAGACCGACAGGAGGGGTGAGGTCAGATGAAGTGATACTTTCATCCTCTGACATAATCAGGCCCGATGGTTCAGCCCTTGTTGATTCTAGATCTGATGAAGGTTCATCCATGATATCTGGAGATTGGAATGATACATGGATTGTAGGGTGGCTGTTGGGCGTGGGAAGCCATGAATTGAGCCACAGCCTGAGCTATCATGGACTGAAGGTAGTCCGGGATTAGAGTCTGGTTCTCAGGGGGGTGAAGCCCTGCTGCAGTGGGGGTGAATGTGGTCTGGGGGCCCACATTAAGGGTGTCCTGGCTAGTCAAGCCTGTCCCTGGGCCCGCCCTTGTGGCTGATTCTAGTTGGGAAATTCCCCTGGGGGGAGACCAGGCCCCTGGGGCTGAGGCACAATGTGAGGAAGGGGTTCAAAATGGGCCTTCCCGTTGTGCCTGTCTGACCTGGGGAGGCCACTCTCAGTCTCTGGGACTCCTCCTCCCTCATCTGTGGATTATTGGTTTCCCTG